CCTACTCTAACTCTACTCTACTCTACTCTATCTTACTCTTAGACGTTTACTCTTTCCAGCCGCCTCCCCAAGCCTGGTAGAGGCTATGTGATGTCATCCATACAAATTACTTGCCGTGGCCCTATCCAAACACCTGCCTAAGCCGCGTTATGTAAACTTTATACAGTCGCTACGAGCGGGGGCATGCCCGCGGTGTTTGCCTAACATTTTATCTCGGCTTGTTTTTGTGACCTTTCCGTGAGGACAGATCCGTCCAAAGTCCTCCCAACCCGACCTAACGGTTACTTACAACTACTGACGAACGGGCGAGCCCACCACAACTTCAGGGGTGCCTTTAGAATTGAAATTTCAAACTACAACACACACAGGCAGCATGCGAATCTGATTCTATTATCCATGTCTACTTTTACGACTTAAAGAGTGCTCATTGTGTGAAATGTGATTAAAAATAGACCCAATTGCACGTACACAAATGGATCCTCACCCCTCTATCCAAGTGGAACGTTCCAATATTTTGTGGCAAAGTTTCCTGTCATGACTCGCAAATGTTGCGACTTGCACCGCTGTCGTGTACCGCTACAGTACCTCATAAGGGGGAGAGAGAAGGATACAGCACTTGTCATGGGAGTTCGTCACAGTAGAGTTCTGTAATGTACCATGTCTGCCTGAAACCTGATCCCCGGCCGCCATCATGCCGCGTCATAGGTTAGGTCACATAGCGGTACGTATAACGTTACATGTATGTTTGCCTCCATTTGTTGTCCTGACTTTAAATAATATATTGGGTGGGCCGAGACCTCTCTACCCACAGCCAGGGGCTAAATAGTGAGGAGCTTACTACGAAGCAGAAACACTGTCAAAAATACGATATATATATTTAAAATACATACAATTGTAAAACATACATGTTTAATAAGAATATATATACACTTTTCAAAACAATATATGTATAGTAAATACATACAATTGTAAAACATATATGCTTAAGAAGAAAATATATATACATTTTTCAAAACAATATATATATCTTAAATACATATAATTCCAAAACATATATTGCTCACAAAAAGTGGTGTTCCCAAAACCCCTATCATATGAAAACATATTGTTCACAAAAGTGGTGTTTCCAAAACCCCTATCATATGAAAACATGTTGTTCACAAAAAGTGGTGTTTCCAAAACCCCTATCATATGAAAACAGGAAGTGGTGTTTCCAAAACCCCTATCATTTCTAAACCTATATATGTTTTCAGTGCACGCGGTAACACTGTCAAATCTCTCACCAGAGTTTCTAGCATGGGCGACCACACTACTGTTGTGGGGGTGAGAGAGAACAAAACAGATTTTTTTCGCCTAGGTTTCTTCCCCTCTTGTCCAGTGATTCTTAAAGCTACGCGTAATTAATTTTCATTCCAAAAAGCCTTTTCATTATTGTATTTTGGTCAGATCTTTGCATATAAGTCACACTAAAAATAGGGGGCGCCAAGGCCAAGGATTGTTACAGAGTAGATTCTTCCGATCAGAACTCTTCCTTTCGCATAAAAGTTGAGATTTTCTGGAATTTTTCAAAGTTTACAATTTTGACGGTTTCATCAGAAGATGCTCAAGTATTGCCATTGGTTCTATGGGAATAGAGTCAATTCTGCGTTACCGTGTGGGTTGTTATTGTCATCATTTAGAAATGTTTTGAATTCTTTGTTATTGTTTGTCTAAGAAATTTCATAATATGGAAACATTTTGAATATCTTTTCAAGATTCTAAATAATTCCATGGTTTTGTAAAATGTTTGAAATATTCCTGATGTGGAATATGACATTTCCAATTGTTTCTAAAAAATATTTACCATTTTTTACCATTANATTCCACATCAGGAATATTTCAAACATTTTACAAAACCAGGGAATTATTTAGAATCTTGAAAAGATATTCAAAATGTTTCCATATTATGAAATTTCTTAGACAAACAATAACAAAGAATTCAAAACATTTCTAAATAATGACAATAACAACCCACACGGTGACGCAGAATTGACTCTATTCCCATATAACCAATGGCAACACTTGAGCATCTTCTGATGAAACCGTCAAAAGTGTAAACTGTAAAAAATTCTAGAAAATATCAACTTTTATGCGAAAGGAAGAGTTCTGATCGGAAGAATCTACTCTGTAACAATCCTTGGCGCCCCCTATTTTTAGTGTGATTTATATGCAAAGATCTGACCAAAATACAATAATAAAAAGGCTTTTTGGAATGAAAATTAATTACGCGTAGCTTTAAGAATCACTGGACAAGAGGGGAAGAAACCTAGGCGAAAAAAATCTGTTTTTTTCTCTCTCACCCCCACAACAGTAGTGTGGTCGCCCATGCTAGAAACTCTGGTGAGAGATTTGACAGTGTTACCGCGTGCACTGAAAACATATAGGCATTTAGAAATGATAGGGGTTTTGGAAACACCACTTCCTGTTTTCATATGATAGGGGTTTTGGAAACACCACTTTTTGTGAACAACATGTTTTCATATGATAGGGGTTTTGGAAACACCATTTTGTGAACAACATATGTTTTCATATGATAGGGGTTTTGGGAACACCACTTTTTGTGAGCAATATATGTTTTGGAATTATATGTATTTAAGATATATATATTGTTTTGAAAAATGTATATATATTTTCTTCTTAAGCATATATGTTTTACAATTGTATGTATTTACTATACATATATTGTTTTGAAAAGTGTATATATATTCTTGTTAAACATATATGTTTTACAATTGTATGTATTTTAAATATATATATATCGTATTTTTGACAGTGTTCCTGCTTCGTAGCTTACAATTAATAAGAGGGGCTGAATTGGGAGGAGATTGAATCGGTCTGGGGCGGCTGTCATTCGGCGCCTAACTTAACTTAGGTGACCTCAATATGACATGTTTAATGCCCCCTTGAGGTGAGCCAAAAGACAAAGATTTTGAACCAGTCTCATCGAGAAGGAACCCTACTTTTTTGCACATATATAGTATGATACTAACGTGCTTTTCCCTGTCTCAAGCTTCGTGTGGTCGTGCATACATTTTCATAGCTCAATGTATTTTGAATATGTTGAAAGCAGAACTTTACACACATTGGTTTTGGATTTCTTTACCCTGTTCCTGCTGCATACCTCCGTAACCAATAGATAACCGGGAAGCCAAAAAGCTTCTTCAGTGTGCTAAAGGTTAAACGATGTGTTGGATTATTTCGTCCACCGAAATATTGTCAGGTAATAATCATGAACTTACTCAACAAATGGGTGTTTGAAGGGTCGACAACAAATGTATCTTTTCCCATGACTTTGCCTATATATTATATACACTTTGCCTCTCTCTCTCTC